TAAACGCAAAAAAAAAAAAAAAACGACACCAATCTGCCTTTTTTTTTAAATACGAGTTCGATTCATTCTCGTTTTCAGTCCCTTCAAGGAGATTCGCCAGATATCCCGAATCGAAGGAATTTACGCAACAGTCAATTGCAAAAGGAGGCGTGGCTACGTCTTGCAACAGCTGGGTCGGCTTTGGGTTTCGTCCTGTGAGAAAGCCTGGGGTTGGAGGTGGGGGTGGGGTGAGGAGGAGGTGAGGAGGGATGGAGGGGTGGGGGGGGTGAGGGGAAAGGAGGAGGTGGGGAGGGAGGGAGGGGAAGAGGAGGAGAGGGTGAGGAAGGAGGTGAGGAGAGGGATGGAGGGGGGGGGGTGAGGAGGAGGGAAGGGGAGGAGGGAGGGAGGGGAGGGGAGGTGGGAGGGAGTGAGGGGAAGGTGGGAGGAAGGGGAAGGGTGGTGGGGTGAGGAGAAAGGGAGGGGAGGGGATGTGGGGAGGATGGTGTGTATATTTTTGCTTGGAGGGTGGGGAAGGGAGGGAGAGGAGGTATGGATGGCGCTGTGAGGGAGGGAGGGGGTTGGAAGAATGTGTAGGTGTGCATGTGTGTGTGGGGAGAGGAGAGGAGGAGTGGGAGGGTGTTGTGTGTGCATGTGTGTTGGTGGAAAGAGGGAGGGGGGAGGAAGGGGGAGTTGATTGTGTAGGAAGTGTACATGTGTGCTGCGGGGGGGGGGAGGGTTGTGTAGGTGTACAAGAGAGAGGGATGCGGGAAGGAAGGGGGGACGTGTTGTGTAAGTGTACATGTGTGTGTGTGTGTGTGTGTGTGTGTGTGTGTGTGTGTGTGTGTGTGTATGTGTGTGTATGTGTGTGTGTGTGTGTGTGTGTGTGTGTGTGTGTGTGTGTGTGTGGGGGGGGGAGGACTAAGAGAGGGAGAGGGGGGGTTTGGTGACGACGTGTAGGTATACGTGTGTATAGGGTTAAGAAAGGGGAAAAATTAGGGGGGGGGGGATTGAGGTTGAGTAGGGGGAGGGTGGAGGCAGGTGGAAGGGAGTGGGGAGAGGGGGTTGAAGTTGCTGGAGAAAGAAGTAAATGTGTATCGGAGGAGAGAGAGGGAGAGAGGGAGAGAGGGAGGGAGGGAGGGAGGGAGGGAGGAGGGAGGGAGGGAGGGGGAGGGAGGGAGGGAGGGGGGGTTGGAAATTGTGTTGGAGGTGTACATGTGCTCGTGCAGAGGGAGGGAGGGAGAGTGAAGGGGGGTGGGGGAATTGTGTAAGAAGTATACGTGTGTTGGGGGTAATTGGGGAAGTTGGTAGGGGTTGTGTTGGTGTGTACAATGTACTCACACACACACGTACATTAAACACGTGTGTAGGCAAAGAAGAAGAGGTTGATGAGAGTGTGTGTGGGGGGGTGGGGTGTTGAGTAAGAAGAGGGGTTGATAAGAGAGTGTGGGGGGGGGGGGGGGGGTTGTTGAGTAAGAAGTGTACACGTGTGTATAGAACAAGGATAGTATACGAGAATTTGTATAATAATAAATAAGATTCTATTTGTTTCTCTGTCCATGCACACACATTGAAATGCATGTCCTCCGATCTTATTCTCCCAAAGTCTAATAACTAATTTACATAAACCTTTGCATGCTCTCTCGCCTCTCCCTCAACCTCTCTCTTCTTCTCTCTCTCTCTCTCAGTCTCTCTTTCTTTCTTTTCCTCATCCTCTCTCCTTCTCTCTCAACATCTCTCCCTTTCTCTCCCTCAATCTTTCTTTCTTTCTTTTTCTCATCCTCTCTCCTTCTCTCATTCACTCTCTCCCCTGTTTTCCCTCAATCTGTCTTTCTTTTTTTTCCTCATCCTCTCTCCTTCTCTCCCTCAATCTCTCTTTCTTTCTTTTCCTCATCTTTTCACCTCTTCTCTCGCTCAACCACTCTTTCTTTCCTTTTCTCATCCTCTCTCCTTCTCTCCCTCAATCTCTCTTTCTTTCTTTTCCTCATCCTTTCTCCTTCTCTCCATCAACCTCTCCCCCCTTCTCTATCTCAATATCTCTTTCTTTTCCTCATCCTTTTTCTCTTTCTTTTCATTTTTCTCATTTTTTCCGTCTTTCTTTCTTTTCCTCATCCTCTCTCCTTCTCTCTCTACACCTCTCTCTTAATCACCTATCCTCACAGTCCCATTTCATCAACAAATCCTCCATCCTCTCTCCTTCTCTCTCTACACCTCTCTCTCGCCTTCTCTCTCTACACCTCTCTCTCGCCTTCTCTCTCTACACCTCTCTCTCGCCTTCTCTCTCTACACCTCTCTCTCGCCTTCTCTCTCTACACCTCTCTCTCGCCTTCTCTCTCTACAACTCTCTCTCTCTCCTTCTCTCTCTACACCTCTCTCTCGCCTTCTCTCTCTACACACACTCTCTCTCTCAACCACCTATTCTCACAATCTTCTACTCCATTTCACCAACAAGATTAGCCTTCCCTCTCCAAACACAGTCATGCACAACAACCCAAGCGACCACAAGCATCACGCTGTCATGCAG